ATGATATTAACTCGTACGTGATTTGATTTTGCTCTACCATATCTTAGCGTTCTATTTAACAGATCCCAGTCTTTTGCCTCAATATGTTCTTGCAGATCGAGATCGCAGGTATTTTGTCGCTCTGCAACAAATATTTATATGTTTGAACCAAGTATCAATACTGATTTTATGTTCAATAAACCAAAAAACAGCTTGGTATGACATGACAAAATTCTACATCTTGTAGCGCCAATCATATTTACTAACTTCTATGTATAAGTAAAACATTGTATATGTTTCTAAGAATTCGTGATTAATTAGAATATTGAGATGACGTCATAGGACAGCAAAATTTTTATTGAGGTGTTTTACAAACCTAAATACTGTTCGCGACCTTCTTGTATTTCTTCATTACTTCCTTCAGACGAAGATTTTTGAGGTACAGCTGAAGACGGTCCGATCTCATCTTGCCCTCGATAAACATATTTTGATTTACTCCGCAAAGATCTACCAACTGCTGATAATAATTCGTTTACTTTGGCTATGCGCTCACTAAATGTCATCTTTGCATGAATGTATACACTATCTGGTCTAGCAAACTCAGTGTCTAAAGCATTTCCAAAGTATGTGATCATCTCAACTTGGGTCATATTAAACATGTTTCTGATAGTTTCTATAGAATAATCGTCATTTACATTGACATGACCAGGTGACCTTACATATACAAAGACTTTGTGTTGATACCTCCTTAAAATCCCATCGGTCATATGCGTCCATGCTGGGGTATTGAGATTAGGTGTTAAGACAATATACAATGTACGCCCTGTCACTGTCGTTGCCTTTGTGCCTACTATTTTCTTGACAAGCAAATTTTGTCGGCAAAGGAATTGCTTAAAACCATTTTTCTGTTTGATGAATGCATTGGCAACATTGCATTTTGTCTGTAGATCATGTCCAACTATCAAGATATGGAGTGGATCTGTAACGACAAAATAGTTTCAAAATATTCAAGTGTGAATTTGTGACTTTTAAAACATAATGAACAAATACATATTCAAAGGTAAGTCAAATATAATTACAACTGTACATGAGGAAGAGTTTTATAGGTTTTTACTTAAACTTTGGTCCCTTGTATTTTGTGATCGCCATTTTAGATTTACGATTTAATGTGTGTAGCAATTTAAATAGGACTTAATATTATGACCATTATAAATTAGGAAAAAAAGAAGAAGGTAAGAGAGAAAGAAAATAGAAAAGATAATACAATAATATTGGCACGCACTATCCTGTGGGACAATAATACGTAGAGAAAATATACTAATCTATCAGAAAATGGCGATTTCACAGAAGGACGACAACTACTGTCTAGACAGTCGGGCGGACGTCAGAAATTAGATAAAACAGCAAAACACAAGTTGACAGTTGACTGGTGATAAGGAAAAGCTATGTTTGATTACAATTGATGTGGGAATAAACTAATACTAGCAGCTAAGGGGTCCTATTTCGTCCATAAAATGTCGCTAATAATTATCGCTTCAAAAGGCCTAAAGGTACTAATTTCCGCTTGTTCTTAATTTCGCTAGTGTCTCGATCGAGCGTCTTTTCATGAATACAGTGAAATATATACAAGCGAAATTAAATAAATTTGCGCCTCGATAATTATTGTCTAAAATTTCATATGTCGTGTGTTCTTCACGCGATAAATATCACTTGAGAGACTAGCGAAATTTCAACATGCAATAATATCGCCTCTAAGGGGCAGAATTTAGACTAAATTTCGCATATATTGTTTTTATTTATTTATTTATTTAAGTCCCACCTTTACATGTACACATAAAAATATATATAAAACATAAAGCACAAACATAAAATGAATAAAAAGCCACCCTAAACACAACGAATTACAAAAGACTATTTACTTTTTGCCTAAAAAGGGAGACAAAACCACAGGGCCATTTCCATCAGGGGTTAAATGTTTTTGGATGGGGAAATTTTTCCCCCCAGCTACACAAATATGGGGTCATTATATTCATTTAAAAGTTTTTGGCCCATATTTCAAAGAAACCCTTAACATCAATATATTCCCCATATTGCATGTTTTTTTTTTGTGGGATAAAAAGGGAACCCAAAGAATAAGTCAAAAAATTATATGTTTTAAAAGGAATGGGGAAAAGAAGATTGACCATTATATTTTCAGTTAACCCTTTAAAAATATGTCATTTTTTTATTTCTTTTTAAAAACTCAAAAATTTTCCAACTTTCGTATTCAAACCCATTTGGGTTTTTTTTTTTTAAACCTTAAATTAAAAATAAAAATCAGTTTTAAACAATACCCAATTTTATTTCCCCTGGTTTAGTTCAATGAATATACAGATGCAACATATATTTGTTAAATATATAATGTAGATGGTCGTTCATGCTTGAATTATAAGTCATTTAATGACATTTATAAAACCATATCCTGTCAAATAAAATTTCCTAAGACTGTTGTTACCTTAAAATGTTATACTGTCCATATAAGTGGGTTAGATCTACATCATGTACGTCAGGACCTTCGTGTATATAAAACTCAAATTGGCTTTGACTGATGTATGACCTTGACCTTGAAATTCAAATTATTTAATTTTCACTGATTATCGCTATATCGCTATATAATTGGTTGTAACTTGGTAATTAATCAATGGATTTTTTTCATACTTGGACAAAACAACCTTTTTGACAATACCCTTTTACCTTGAGCTTTAAATGACATTGACCGTCAAGTTCAAAGTATTGAATTATGGGTAAGTTGTCATAATTTTGTTATTTATGTACGGATTTAATTTTCATACATGGACCAAACATTACATGTTACCAAATAAACTTGTTGAATAATTTAGATATGACCTTGACATTTCAAATGATTGAAAGATCAATCAAATGATTTTGATTATATTTTCTTAACTTTATCATTGCTTATGGAAAGGATTCATACTTGGACATAACAGCACGTGTGACTAGACAGACCTTTTAAATTAGAAAAAAACTTCTTTTTTTCTTTAATTTTCTTTTAAAAGATTTGTTTAAACCGTTTATTTGTTTGCTTTTAGAAAAAGTAAAAAACGTCGAGCGTTGGCCCTGCCCGGCAGTGCTTCTTGTTAAAAATATTCTTACTCCAGTTTTGTTCTACTCTTAAAGTTTATTACATGATTTCAGTAAATATTGGCTATCTTTATTTCTTGTATGAAAATGATCATTGCTGTAATTTTGCATAAAAAGATTGAACGCTGAAATGTTACTGTTGTTTAAATATATTAAATGTTATGTTTAAGAAATGAATGACCTGCTTTCAATTTCTCTAAGATATAAACATCTCTGAAGAAGAAACGCAATCCTTGTACGTTTTAAATATTTTCAATGTATGGTATGTTTACTTTGTTGACTCTTACATTATATATTATGTTATATATATTATAACCAAACCTTTTTGGAGATATTTTTACCATTGTTGATTTAGTACTTTAAGTTTGTTGTACAATATTAATTCTTTTAGGCGAGTCAGCTGATAAAACTATATATCGTACGAGTCATTGCTGCGTCTGATAAAAGATTTGCAGCTGTTTAGTGGTCCAATAGAATCAGTATTGTTCTAAATCGTATTTAATAATCTCTTTATTTTACATCACTATTTTTTACTTTTTGACAGATATTTGTAATTTCAGTAACAAAAAGATTGTGATGTGAAAAATATTTATGAGCGACAATTCGCTAGATAGTTTTGTAGTCGAAAGTTGAGATTTAAATAACCAACTACTTACTAGCTGGTAGTTGCTTATTCGTAATTCCCAACTATTTAACAGCTAAAAGTTGGTTATTGTCACCAGCATGAAATATTCGAACACATCATACATTTTTTGAAAACACAGAATTACGGAGTTGACCTTGTTGATCATTCGCGTGAACCCCAACCACCTATTGGCTTAACATATTTTCCCTCTTTTTCCGGAAAATAATGAAACGGATATATAGAATGATAGATATGTCATTTAACATGGAAATACCTTATGTTCACCAGGTGATTCAGTTGGGTTTTCTCGCGAATCACCAACTACATACCTAAGTACTGAAGGTAGTTGGTAATTCGGATCTTGTTTATAATCCTGTAAAAACAGACAAACGAGGTTATATGGTGTGTGATATGGATTTAATACGAACCTTTTGGATTTTTAAAAACGAGGCTATATCAGGTGTGAAATAGAACTGAACTAGCTCCGGTTTTCCAGTCGTCACATATTTACTGGCGTGAAATAAGATTGTAGCGGATCTACTTTTCTTTTCATCTTACAAAAAAGAAACTTCACTCCTTTATAAAAAAAAGATCCTGTATTCGGCATAATGTAATCATAGTTTTGACGTTCGTGTTTCCTTTTTTCAATCTATAACAGGCGAGAAACACATATTAATTGGCATTCAAAATAAATGAGTGTATTCTTTCAGAATCCGGCGCCTGTTCGTATCTTAACTGGTAGGCCTACCATTGAATTTAGTTTAAACGAATACTCGTATATTACCTACAGTCCTTTCGCTCTATTGAACGGCATAATTTCATGTAACTATGCTCTTAAATTTATCATGGAATGTGACAGAACGTATGATTATGTTGTTTTGTAGCCACGTGTCATGCCTACCCCAGCGCGAAGCCTATTTGTTCTTTTTTCTGTTAATTAAGATTCTTGTCGATAGTTTTGTCTCGTGTGTCAGCCATGTTTGGAGCAGCATTTTCATCTACGTAAACCTTGCGAACTTGTTTTTTTATGCAATTAACACTTTCTAAGGTTGCATAGTGTAAGTTAATATGGTTTTTACTGACAACCAGTATTGTTTGTTACATAGACAGTAATAAACCCATTTGGGGAAGCCCTTCTGGCATTTCGCTATTGAAATAAGATTTGTACTCGAAACCATTCGTACCATATTTTTGCATTTAGTACGTTACTTTTTGTAATGATATTAATAGTATGAATATTTTAACTATTAAATAAGATCACTGTATTCTTTTAACTTGAATACCAACTTAATACATGATTTTTCTGGAATAATTGTGCAGCTTATGCAGTAGACTTATGTTTGTTATTTTGTATTTGCAGTATTTACCGCTAAAAGATTGAGGAATAAAAGAGCAATAATTACAAAAGGACTATCTTTATTTCTTCAATTGAATGGTTAATCTTTGCCGTTTCCCTTATCATTGGGTCCGGTACAGTAAATAACTGGCAGCAAATGAAGTGGTCATCGACATAATCACATTACATGGAAGTTCGTAGAACTAGAATATTAACTGAAAAAGCTATGGCGTTGTTTAAACAACAGGATCAGAAGCTTATTACAAAGTACAATGAAACTGTAAAAGAACTTGAGAATCACATTGCATCAAACTCAGGGCTTTCTGTTAACAGTTCAATTTCTGCATTGAACAAGTGTAAAGACTTGTGTATAAAATTACATAATGCAGTGCAGGCGGTATATGGAGAATATGCTAAATATTTAGAAAGTGTCAAAACAAAAGAGAGTGAGACACAAAGTACATGGTTGGACAATTCCTACATTGATTTAGAAGAAAAGGTAAGGCAATATCTTAGGACAATCAAAATGATTAACTCGGAAAAGATTGAAATAATGTCCCAAAGTGGTAAGAGTGAGATATCTGGTGTTGCTTCGAGTACAATGAACTCAGCTACAGCAAAAGCAGTGGAGGCTAAAGCAGCACAAGTTCGTTTCAAATTCGCGGAGCAGGAAACAAATCTGAAAAAGAAGCAGGCAGAAATTAATGCAGATCTTGAATTATTAAAATACAAAAAAGAAGTTGAAGTACTTGTAACTGAAGCCGAAGAACTAGCGAAGATAGAAAGTTCACAGAAAAGCTCTGTTTTAGGGGACAGTTTACCTGAACAAGATCCGTTGTCTAAAGTAGGACAATACATTCTAAATCATGGAACACAGGATAATGAGAAATATTTGAAGTTAGCAGATCAGGAGAAAAGTGTTACAGCTCAGTTTTTGTTGAGAAAAGACTTAATTTTGTCAAGACTTACAAAGTTTAATGACACATGTGGTAACTATCAAGCTTGGAAAGTTAGCTTTAAATCCATCAGTGACGAAATGTTGTTGTCAAGTAGTGAAGAAATAGATCTGCTAATAAAATACTTGGGTCCCAGCTCAAGAAAACATGCAGTAAGTCTACGTACAGCATATCTTCATGATGCCAATCAAGCTTTAATCCAAATATGGCAACGTCTTGATGAAAGATTTGGAACCCCGGAAAGTGTCCTTAGTTCATTGACCAATCGGCTTCAAGCTTTTCCCATCTTGACTAACAAAGACAGAGTTAGGTTGTACGAGTTAGCAGACTTACTACAGGAGATTGAAGGTCTGATGTCTAATCCACAGTACCATAAAACACTATCCTACTTCGATTCATCTATAGGGGTGAACCCCATTGTCAACAAATTGCCATACAGTTTGCAGCAGAAATGGATTGCTCATGCATCAACATACAAAGAAAGTCACAGTGTTCCATTTCCACCATTCTCCTTCTTTACAAGCTTTGTGAAAAAGTTCAGTGTCATATTTAATGGTCCAAATTTTGCATTTAAAATTACAGCTTCAAATCGTCAGAGAAGTCGGAATTCTTCTCATTATGATCAAAAGGTATCGAGTAGTCGTGTGGCTGCGGCGAAAACTGAAATTCAGAGTGATAAGAAATCAAGTGTGTTAAATGATAAGTGCTTGATTCACAAAGGTGCACCACATCGTTTATCAGAATGTAAAAGATTTCAGTGTAAGTCGGAAGAAGAAAAGCGTAGTTTTCTTTCTGAAAATAAATTGTGCTATAAGTGTTATTCTCCTAGTCATCAGGCTCGTAATTGTAAAGAGTCTTGGAAACCAACAAATTCGTATGGTGGGGAGAAACAGAGTTCGACATATGGACTGAGAGACACTTGGAAATCAACAAATCATAGGGAAGAGAAGGATTCATCATTTGGCCAAAATGACAGTCTGCTTACAGAGCAGAAACAGAATGTAAACATTAAATGTACTGAAATTTGTAAAAATGATCACGTTCAAGGGAAATCTTGTGCAAAAATCATACTTGTTCGTATTTATGTGAAAAATTCACCAGATATTATGTTTATTGCTATGCCACTGTTGATGAACGGAGTAACAGATGTTTAGCAAAACCAAAATTGTTCAAATTGTTAAATGTATCTGGTAAACCTGTAGAATATACTATGTCTTCATGTAATGGCATTTCTAAGCAACATGGCAGAGAGCTAAATGACTTAGTTGTTTAATGTATTGACAAAAGTGTTCATTTTGATTTGCCTACTGTTATAGAATGTTCTGGTATACCAAGTGATAGGAATGAGATTCCTACACCAAGTGTTGCGGCCAATCACCCACATTTGTCTGATGTAGCCCCTTTTATCCCAGAAATAGTTGAAGATGCTGAAATGTTACTTCTGCTTGGTCGAGATATCCCAGATGTACACCATGTGCTAGATCAGCGCTTTGGGCCGAAAGGTTCCCCGTTTGCACAGCGTCTGCCCCTTGGATGGGTTATTATAGGTGAGGTGTGTCTTGGTATTGCACACATTATTCCTAATGTCAGTGTAAAGAAAACCTATATTGTGGGTGATGGGCGAGCTTCACTTTTGCCTCAATATCCGAGCAAGTTCCATGTTGCTGAGTCAAAAGATGTTGGCTCATTTGAGCCTGAATGTAATTCTACATATGTGTTAGACAATGGAAGATATACTTCTGTTTAAAACCTTGTAGTAATGTACATAATAATGATCATGTGTCAACACAGTTTACATATGATTATGTGTTCGCATCTGATGTCCGTGATAACAAACCGTCTCTGTCTGTTGATGAATCAAACCTTTTTTGGCTTCAGATGAGTACAGAGTTTGTGCTTGATTCAAGTAAAAGATGGTCAGCCACACTTCCATTCAAGTCTCCCCGTCCTAGATTACCCAACAACAGAGCACAGGCACTCCATAGAGCAAGTAATCTTGAGGCAAGTTTGAGCAAAAATCCCCTCAAGAGACAGCATTTTGTTGAATTCATGCATAAAACTTATTGCAAATGGTCATGCTGAAATAGCTCCCCCATTGCAAGAAAGTACTGAATGCTGGTACTTACCTATTTTTGGGGTCTATCATCCTAAAGAAACCGATAAGATAAGGTTCGTTTTTGAATCAGCAGTTCAATTTGAGGGTGTTTCACTGACCTCTGTACTGTTGCAGGGACCTGACTTAACAAATAGTCTCCTAGGTGTGTTGCTTAGATTTAGGAAAGAACTTGTTGCGGTTTCTGTTGATGTAGAACAGATGTTTTACTGTTTCGGTGTTAATGAAAAAGATAGAAATTACTTACGTTTCTTTTGGCATGAAAATAATGATACTATGAAGCCTCTTGTAGAATACAGAATGTGTAAACATGTATTTGGAAACTCACCGTCACCGGCTATAGCTACCTGTAGAGCATTCCGATGCTGATGTAGTTCAGTTTGTTAAAAGGGATTTCTATGTTGACGATGGACTTACTTCTTGCCCTACAGTATCTGAGGCTGTTGATTTGGTTAATCGTACTCAAGCTTCTTTGGCTAAATCAGGGATCCGATTACACAAATTGTCTTCCAATTCTCGAGAAGTTATTGAATCTTTTCCTAAAGAAGATGTGGCTACAGTTTCGAACTGTATTGATTTCGAGCTTGATAATTGTCCTACTAGTCGAAGTCTAGGCCTTGAGTGGGATTTGAACCAGGATTGTTTCCTTTTCAACATTGAAATTATATGGTAATGGCAGCCGTGGATTTCCATAGTTTTGTTTAAGCGGAAACATCGTGCACGCGCGTTTTTATTCGGTTTCGTTTGGGTTTTATCGTATAAGTTTCACTTCCGGTATTGAATCGGTGAAAATCGACAATTTTCGTCAATGATGTACATTGTCGATCTCACCCGTGCAATATCGTGAACACTGGTCACTCGTTCTTTCTTGTAACTTATCAAATTGTTGTGTTTGTTATGTATGATTCTATGTGTGAGAGATATCCATTGGTTCTTTTAAATACTTTTTTACTTCTGCGCACTGTTTGCTTTTCCTGTCCCGCTCACTCTTGACAGTCATCAACTAGATCTACTTCTTACTTTATATTTCAATTTATATTGAAATACTTTATATAAGTAAAGATCTTTTATTCTTCGTTATAACAGACGCTGTGGTAAGAAATAGTATTAAGATTAAGATATTGATTGTATATCTTATTTATGTATTTTTGTATTTTCTTATTCCGCGTCGATTGTGTATATATTGTTATTTCCATGTATTTTGTTTTTATATGTATTGTACTTGTAAGATGTATAATTATTTTATTATATTTTTAGACCATTTTTATTGGATTCATTAAAAACATCGAACCTACGCCTAGAGTTTGTTTCTGTTCCACAAGAAATATTTGACCCTGTGACACTGGGTGCCAGTGTGGTTTTTGGATGGTCACGGCGACTAGAAGATTCTAGATCTACGGAGGTAGAAGACGAGAACCGTATCTTTTGGAGGTCTATCTGTTCGTCACAGAATCGTCACATGGAATGAGGAAGACAGTGAGCAGAACTTTTTATTTCTGAATACCAATTTAACGGGTAACTCCTGTTAAATTACCTTGTAAATATTTTTGTTTTGTAAATTATTGGATTTTATATAATTGTGTATAGTGTGAACATTGAGGTATGTGTATTTTTTGTGTTGACATGTAAAACGTAAATTTTTCATATATTTTCGCGAGATATTTTTTCAGTAATTTCTTGATCAGATATATTTTGACCAGTTAGCAACATTTAACAGTAAAAATTATTGAGAGAATAAGGTAACATTCTTGTATTTTGATCAGTTTTTTTTTCAAACAGCGTCATAGGTATTTTTCTAGGAACACAGTATTATTTTTTCTTGAAAACTTAGGGTGTTGATTTATTGACTTATTGTCCCTTTCTTAACATTTGCGGATTATCGTTATAGTTTATACATACAGTATTTTTATTTGGTGATAACACCAAGTAACAGCTGTGTGTTTTGTACTGTTAGTTGGTGAGCACACCAGGTAACATTGTACTTTTATTTTGTGTTGAACCTGATATTCGGTTTATTTTGAAGAGGTCATTTTGTATGCAGAAGCCAGAGGTGTACCATGTACAGAGGTATTAGTTGTTTATTTGGGAATTTGCATATTATATTTGTGTTGCATTTTTATTTCAGTTGTTTCAGAGGACACAGTTTTGGGTCAGTGTTGTGATTTAGTCTGATTATATATTTGTGATTAAAATTTCAGGGTTTATAGGCTATTTTGAGAAATTCCCTATAGTCTGTATGATTTGATGGTGGCCAGGTCAATTTGAATTTATTTATTTATCACATTATTTGAAATTTCAGTCCAGCAGCTGTACCCGTGGTTTGGTTTTGTGTTTATATATTGTGTTCTATTTTCAGTGTTTATTTTTGTAGTGTTTTACTATGGCTACAGGTGGAAAACTTACAGATAAAATTAAGAGTTTTACTTCAGGGGCAGACAAACCAGACAGTGTACCTTTAACTGATATGCAAATTTCTGTAGTTTTAGAAGCTTTGAAGAAGTCTGGTGATTATGTGGTTCTAACTAGAGATGAGTATAATGTTTTGAAAGGTCCAGGTCCTACCAGTACACCTATTGTTAAAACTTCATTTCAGAATCCTTTTGATGTTTCTGCATTACAGATGCCAAAAGTTGATGTAAAATTACCATTCTTTTCAGGTGAAGTGCCTCCTTTGAAAGGTGATGTAACTTATGATGTTTGGCGTTATGAAACTAAATGTCTTTTATCAGAGTCTTCTTTGACAGAAAATTTCATTTTACAGATTGTTCGTAGATCATTACGAGGTTCAGCCAGACAAGTTCTAATACCATTAGGAGAAAAGACTTCTTTATCTGATATTTTAAATAAACTTGATACTTTGTTTGGAAATGTTTCAACAAATAAATCTGTTATGCAAACATTTTACAGTGAGTCTCAGAAGCCCTCAGAGAATGTTACTTCATATGGTTGTAGGTTAGAAACTTTATTGCAGGTTGCAGTTGAAAGAGGTCATGTCAGCCACTCATCTAGAAATGATATGTCAAGATCTAAATTTTGGACAGGTCTTCATGATGAAAAGCTGAAATTATTTACTAGTCATAAGTTTACCTCAATTTCAGATTATAATATGTTACTGCGAGATGTTAGAGCTGCAGAACAAGAGCTTTCAACATCAGATAAATTAACAAAAGTTCAGTGTCAACCTATTTCAGATTCTAGGGATAAAATTGTTGAAGATCTTTCAAAGAAGATGGACACTTCGATGACCATTTTTATTGGATTCATTAAAAACATCGAACCTACGCCCAGAGTTTGTTTCTGTTCCACAAGAAATATTTGACCCTGTGACAGTACAAAATAGCTCTGTTACCAAGAGGGGTATATTGTCATCAATAAACAGTGTTTTCGATCCTCTAGGGTTTTTATCTCCAGTAATATTAGAAGGTAGATTGATTCTTAGAGACGTAGTATCAAGTGGAATAGACTGGGACGAACCACTTCAGACAGATTTTGAAGTCAGATGGCAGCACTGGCTTAGTGATTTGGATAAATTGTGTAGCATTAGAGTACCTAGGTCTCTTTTCAATGTGTCTTCGTCTAAGATGGATAACTTGGAACTGCATATATTTTCTGATGCATCAGAAAGGGCGATTTCTGCTGTAGTTTACATTGTTGGTTGCTTGAATAGATATGAGAAGAATGTTACTTTTGTATTAGGCAAAAGCAAAGTTGCTCCATCTTCGGGACACACTATTCCCCGTTTAGAATTGCAGCAGTTTTAGCTACAGAGTTGTATATGCTCGTTGTAGAGAACATGTTTTTACAGTTTAGTCAAGTAAACTTTTACACTGATAGCAAGGTTGTACTAGGGTACATCAACAATCAATCACGTAGATTTTACACATATGTAAGTAACAGGGTATACAAGCTACGTCAAATTAGTTCTCCTACGCAATGGAGGTATATTTGCTCAGATAAGAACCCTACAGATATAGGTTCTAGGGGTTGTAATCCTGATCAACTTAAGGATAGTGAGTGGCTTAAAGGACCGGAATTCTTGAAGAGAAATTCTGAGATTTTAAGAGAGTTTTTCCCTTTGGTAGATCCTCAGTTGGATAGAGAAGTCCGTTCTTCTAGAGTCGTTGCCATGGCAACTAGAGTGAACAAGGATTTAATGTTGGGGTCTAGCAGATTTGAACGTTTTTCTTCATGGTACAAATTAGTAGCTGCTATTGGTATCCTTATACATATAGTAATGTCCCTTAAGAAAATTGATACATGTAAAGGTTGGCATATTTGTAATGAGTCACATGCTGTCAATATCAAGTCCAAGGCTACTATAGTGATTTTAAGAGAGGGGCAATACGACTGTTTTAAGGAAGAAATAGATGCACTGTCTTTCAAAACTCCTATCCATTCTGGTAGTGCATTATTGAAGTTTGATCCATTTATTGATGAATCCACAGGTGTACTTAGGGTTGGTGGTCGTTTGGGTCAAAGTTCATTACCTT